TTGTCTTTGGGATTGTGGGATCTCTTGGGCCCTTTGATGCCAATCCCTTGATTTTGGGATTGTTCAATCCCTCAGCCCCTTTGAGCTCAATTCCTTGGCCCCTTTTGAGCTCTCTCCCTTGGTTTTGGGATTGTTCAATCCTTTTATCCCTCTGGAGCTCAATCCTTTGGCCCCTTAAATCTCATGCCTTGCATTTGGGATTGCTCAATCCCTTTTGCTTTATGAGCTCAATTCCTCAACTCTGGAATTGCAGGGATCAGATCCTGCTCCTGGCCCACATCTGCTCATACAACATCCAACGTGGAGCTGCTTCATTAATTGAAGCTGATTCATTAACTGAAGCTGCTTTGTTAATAAAACACTCTTGACCACCTGACTGAGGGACATTCATGGGATGCGGGGACAGTCAGGCAGGAAAACGGGAAAATCTCTGCTTGTTTAGAGGCAGCTCATCCCTTCTTTTTCCGTTGTCTTCTCCGGAATGAGGACTTGTGCTGTCCAGTGAGGGAAATAAATGACCCCCAGCAGCTGCGAGTGCTGATCCTCGAAATCCGCGGAACCCACTTAAATGAATAATAATTAAAGAAATAAATTTCCCCAAGTGCAGCCTCAAAACTTTCAGTTCAGCAATAAAGCCAAGGAGAGACTCGGAAAATGAATCGCTCGGCTCTTTCCGAAGGAGGCTGCAGTGGGAGAGGTGGGATGATAATGGAAACTGTTAAAGGAGCCAGTGTGCTTTAAGGAAGCCTTTTCCAGGTCGTGTGGAAACAGGCTGAAGAGAGTTTGTGTGGTGATATTGACAACTGAGGAATAAAAGGGTTGAGCAATCCCAAAATCATGGAATTGAGGGGGAAGGGCCAAGGGAATGAGGAACCGCAAAACTTAGGCATTGAGCTCGAAAAGGACCAAGGATATAAGGAATTGAGTAATCCGAAAGAGCAGGCACTGAGATTTAAGGGGCTATGGAATTGAGCTCAAAAGGAATAAGACATTGAGGAATCCCAAACCCAAGGAATTGTACTCAATGAGCCAAAGGACTGAGCTCAAAAGGGATAAGGGACTGAACAAATCCAGAACCTTGGGATTGATGAGCAAAAAATGGGATGACCCTGTTGTGGTCAGTTTGGAGCAGAGCTGATCACCTGCCTGTCACTGCTTGGACAAACCCCTGGTTGTTCCCTCTGTGTGTAAGATTTCCATAAATTATCCTTGATTTGGGATTGTGGAAGTAGATGGGAAGCAATGGGCTTGATACTCAATACTCGTCATTTTAACAGTGTTCTCACTCTCTTGCCCATTATTCCTTAGTCTTGGCTCACCCTAATTCTGGATTTCTCCCTTTTTTTTTTCAGTTTTTTACAGCTTTTCCACCATTTAAAACTAGTAAATTATGAGATAAGATGCTCCAACAGACCTTTCCACGAGATGAGGTCCTGATCCTTGAACTGTGCCTTGGAGCAATAAAGTCCTTCCTAAATAATTAAGCAGGTGATAATTAACTGTGATATTTGCAGCCAGTTTTTAACTCAGAATATTGTTTTCAGGGTGTGTTTGTTGCATCCCAAGCCCCTGGGTGATGGGAATCTGAGCAGGAGTGTTGGATTGAATGGGAGCATCCTGATACCCATGTGGGAATGCTGGAAAGCAGCGAGTGTTGCTCCTGAGTGCAGTCCCTGGGCTGCCAAGGTAAATCACTGCCAACCTTTCCCTGGAGGAGAAGGACCTTGAGCCTCAAGTTGTGTCTTGGGGTTATGGAAAAAAAAAACCCAGGATGCCAGAGATGGACCTGGATCTGCTTGAGATGAGTTTTAGGATTAAGGTTAAGAAAAGTTCCTAATAAACTTAGAGTTGGTGTAGGGGTGCAGCATCCAACCCGCTTGTTTTAAGCTTTTTTATTGTTTGACAAGGATAAATTTTGCCTTTCCCCCCTTTTCCATCAAAATCTGGAATTCCAAACGTCGATCCAAACGCTGCGGAAAACACCGCGGGACTGCTTGGCTGTGGATTCCTTCCTAGGAGCAGGGAAAAAAAAGAAGGAGTTAGGCTGTAGCCCCTGCTATTAATCATAGCTGTAATCATGCATTTAATGAACATGACAGCTCCCGCTCCCTCCGGAGAGACGCGCAGAGTCTCCCGGCTGGATTGGGAACAACAATCACTTCTCACCGCGAGCCACCGGAGCCACTGGAGCTGCCAGCGTCGGGCTGGGATGATGCATTAAGAGAAACAACCCTGTTTGCACGGGCTGTGGGTTTCCTTACGGATGATGCTCTTCCAAGCGACTGAATCATCAGGAAAGGGGGAGAGAAATCCACCTGTCCCTTCCACAGGGTGGAAAATATCCCGGCTGACGCCGCTGTGCTGGGTGTAATCACTTCAAAAGCCCTCAGTGTGCAGTCCTTGATGCTCTCTGTAGCAGCTTTTCTTTCTTTCCTGCTTTTTTCCCCCCTTCTTCATTGCGTTCCTGCTGCCTTGGAGCGTGCACATGGGAGGAATTTGCTGTGATACCACTTTAAATTTCCATAGTGAGGGACTTTGGCAATGCCAAAGATGTGGGAGTCACTCTCCTGATCTGACAGCACTGCTGTGTCCTCATGTTCTCCCAGGCTGGGAAGCGATTGAGGAGAAAAACGGGACAGATCTGGAGCTGGGATCTGCCCAGTGTTTTGTCTGGACCAAATGAGACTCCCAAAGTCGAGCCCTGGGGGCAGCGTTTCAGCTTTTTGTTTAATTTAGGCCAGACTGCAGCCAATTTTGGCTCCTGATATTGGAATTTAACCCTTATCCCATTTCTCAGAGTCTTTTGATGTCCCAGTTTCACCCCAATTTAAATAATACACACTCCAATGCCAGGAATATTTATTTATTAATTTATTTATTAATGCAAATATCTTGTAGTGACCAGTTGGGAATTCTGAGTTGACAAACACCCTAAAAATCCAAATTTAGGCTTCTGTGACCTCCTGAAAAGTTGGGAATAACCAGTCCCCTCTCCTGCACCCCCTTCTTGTTACTTGGATATACACAAAGATTTTACTTTTATTTAAACTTTTTTTTCCATGATGCAACAGCTTCAAAGAATATCCTCATGACAGATCCTGAGTTTTCTCTGTAAATCCCAATGGATGGGGAAATGTTTAATTACAGAGCTATCGTGGCTTGGCTTCTGGAGAAATATTTGGGTGATTTTCTAATAGTTTGGGGAGGATTTGCACACGGGATGAATAATTAGGAAGTGGAAAAATGTGGATGGGGGTTTTCTTTGCCGGCTTCCAGGTGCTTTGCCAGACCTGGATGGATCTCACATGGATTTTGTCATGGATGGGACCAGCTCTTGGATAGTTAAACTCCCTTTGGGATGCAAGTTAATTCCTGGAATGGGAGATTTACATCATATTATTGCATGGCTTCTTACTAGAAGATGAAAACTGGGGAAAACTAACCCCAAAAAAATAATTCCATTGATGTATTTTTGCTGCATAGAAATTCCAACCCACTGGCAGGAGGCTGTTGGCCCCTTTATTTATCCTCTATTTATCTCTTTAGTGATTCCTCCTTTCTGGCCAAGATGACCTTTAAAGGCCCTTCCAGCCCTAGCCATTCCGTGATTCTTTGATCCCAAACTTGTTCATCCCTGTGTATCTTTTATCCCCAAATATTAAATATTTAGAGGGGTTTTGTGCTGCCCTCAGGAGCTGATTTCTGGTGTAGCTTTAAGGAATATTATACAGAATTCCAGAGGGCTGAGGATGCTCCAGCCCTATCCTAATGGATTTTAATTTGGGGCTTTCTCCCCACGTTGTTTGGGAAGTCAACCTTGCACTTAATGGAGACTTTTCAGCAGCGTCTTTGGAGCATCCTAAAGTTGGAGAATGTTTATTCTAGAACAAAAAAAAAAAAGATGCTCCTACAGTTTGGGATGTGAAGGAATTTTAAAAAAACAGGGGAAAAAACCATCTCACTGGTGGCTCAAATGCCCCGTTGATGGTATTTGATGTGCAGAGGGAACAGATGGGGCTGCGCCGATGCCGGCAGCCGAGTGACAGCTCGCGGTGCCGTGCAATCAAATTCCACTCGCTCAACTTCCCAACACGCCCGGGCTGGCAGGTGAGTGACTGAGCCGCTCTCATCCCACCTGGAAAATGAAATCCAGCCTTCCTTTCCCCATTCGTTCTTCCCTGCACCAGTCAAGGATGATTTAATTCCATGCGTGCATGGGTGGGAGTGGGCGCTGGGCTTCCCTGTCCAGCTGGGGGGTGCGGCCAAGCCAAGCCTGGAAATTTGTTGGATTGATGATGGAAGCGTGGGATTTGCTTAGAGAAGTGTTCTGGCACGTTTTGGTGCTGAGAGGAAATATTCCTCCTGTGTTTGGGGCTAGCAAGGAGCATTTCTGCTGGGGCTGCTCCAGAGGTGGGAAGTCCCTGAAGGGCATCTTGGTCCCTTGGTTCTCTGGGAGCTCTGTGCTTTGGGTTAAATAAGATCCTGGAATCATGGAATGGTTTGGGTTGGGAGGGAGCTTGAAGATCATCCAGTTCCATCTCTCTGCAAGGGGCAAGGACGCCTTCCACTATTTCAGGTTGCTCCAAGCCCTGTCCAGCCTGGCCTTGGACACTTCCAGGGATGGGGCATTCATAGTTTCTCTGGGCAGTTTGTGCCAGGGCCTCTCCACTCTCCCAGGGAAGAATTTCCTCCTCATATCCCTTCTCTCCCTGCCCTCTGGCAGTGGGAAGCCATTCCCTCGGTTTTGCCACTGCAGGTTCTTGTCCAAAGTTCCTCTCCAGCACTCGTGGAGGCCCTTTAGGCAACGGAAGGGGCCCCAAGTTCTCCCTGGAGCCTTTTCTTTTCCAGGCTGCACACGCCCAGATCTCCCAGCTTTTCCTCATGGCAAAGGGTCTCCATCCCTCCAGTCATTTTTGTGGACATAAGGTACTGAGGGCTGTGTGAATTCCTGCAAAATTTCTCGATTCCAAGTGATGATCCATGTTTTTCTCTCTCTCCAGCCCTGAGATTGCACTCCACACCCAGTCCTGGGGTCTTTACACCCAGCCTGAGCAGATCCTCAACGTGCCGATACATTGCCAGGTCTGTATGGGCAACTTATGGGAAGCAGGAATGACATGCTCCATCTTTGGAATTATGCTCAGGAGGGAATCAGGAGCTTCAGGAGCTGCTGTTGAACTGGAGGATGATTTGGGGAAGCTCTGGCTGCTGCTTTTCCGCATAATCTACTTTGAGGTGGTTTTAAGCTCAGCCAGAGCCTCCCCCCTCTCCCAGGGAAGAATTTCTTCCCAATATCCCATCTATCACTGCCCTCTGGCAGTGGGAAACCATTCTCCCTTTTCCTGGCACTCCAGCCTTTATCCAGAGTCCCTCTCCAGCTCTCCTGGAGCCCCTTTAGGTACTGGAAGGGGCTCCAAGGTCTGCCTGGACAGCCAGGCTAGACATTCCCAGCTCTCCCAGCTTGACTCCAGAGCAGAGGTGCTTCAGCCATTGGAACATGTCCATGACCTCCTCTGGATCTGCTCCAGCAGCTCCACATCCCTCTGCTGCTGGACCCCAGAGCTGGAGGCAGCTCCACAGGTGGGATCTCACCTGAGTGACGCTGAGGAGCAGAAATTCCCCCTGTCCTGCTGCCCCTGCTGTGGGATGAGCCCAGGACATTCTGGGCTCCCATGGCTGGATCATGAGGAGCTTCTCATCCACCAACTCCCCCAAGTCCTCCTCAGGACTGTTCTCAATCCATTCTCCACCAGATTTGTGCTTGGGATTACCCACTACACATCCAGGACCTTACACTTGGCCTTGCATCTCCTTTTAATCCAGGAGCTGCAGACAACCAATAATTACAGAAGTAAAAATGTGCATTTCGTCTGAAATAATTTCTTTGAACCTGTGTTTTTCATGGCTAATGCACTGCATCCTTATCAAACTGGAGCTGACTGTGCCCTACCACTGATTTATCTACTTGGAGAGATCTGATATGCCCCCCATGATTTGTGTTCACCCAGATCTCAACACTTCCCCTCTTCCACCTGGTCCCACACATCACAAGAACTGCTGGATAATTCCCTCTCCAGCTGGAAGCTCATGGAAAACGTGCTAAGCAACTTCTGAGCTCCTTAAGTAGCTTCTAGTGGGACCAGGCAATTAAAAAGAAGTTTTTCTGCTCTTTGGTGGTACTTTTTGTTCCTGTGGCCATCATGTAGGTGCCCATTCTTTGAGGTTCATGACCAGGTGCCCACTTGAAGGCCGTGAATAGCATCAGGCCCAGCTGGTGGGACATGTGCTGAAGAGCCCTTCAAGTCATTCAGCCTTGGCATCCTGTGCTGCACAAGGAGAGGATGTTTCCTTCCTCACCATATTCCCCAAAAGCATGGGAAACCCACTCCACGCTCATAAAATCTGGGGAGAGAATCAGAGTTATGGGGGTGGGAAGGGATCTCAGTGGTGACTTCAGTGTTACCTTACAGATTTTTAATGATTTGGGGCAAAATCAGCCAAAAACTGAAAATATTTAAGTGCTTATATGCACGAACTTCCTAAATACTTCTCTGCAAAGATAGGCTTCTCTGTGGTTTCAGGTAGTGTTGGGGTGTCCTCTCCATGTTGTTGTGGGGTTGGAGCTGGAGGTTTTCCCTGATCTTGTCCCTTTTTCTCCCTCAGCCGTGCTGTGCAGAGGAGCTTGGCCATCATCCGTCAAGCCAAGCAGAAGAAGAAAAAGAAGGAATATTGTATGTATTACAACCGCTTCGGGAAGTGCAATCGCGGCGAGAGCTGCCCCTACATCCATGATCCAGAGAAAGTGGCTGTCTGCACCAGGTAGGGATGGACATGGAATTGTGGTGAACCGGAACATTGGGTGGCTTTGGTGCTTCCTTGTGGGGTATTCCTAAGGGAAACAAACTGATAACAGAGATGTAGGACAACAGGGATGGGAGTTCTGGGTCAGGTGTAAGTTCTGCACTGTTGGGTTGGAAGGAGGAGGACAAGAAGAGGCCAGAGAATCAAGGAATTGTTTTGGTTGGAAGGGGCATCAAAGATCATTGAATTCCAAACCGCTGACATAGGCAGGGACACCTTCCACTATCCCAGGTTGCTCCAAGCCCTGTCCAGCCTGGCCTGGAACACTTTTAGGGATGGGGCAGCCACAGTTTGGGAATTCCATTCCAGTCCCTCACCAGCCTCACAGGGAAAAGTATCTTCTTAATATCCTGTCTATCCCTCTGGCAGTAGGAAGCCATTCTCCTTGTCCTGTCACTCCATCCCTTGTCCCAAGTCCCTCTTTGGCTCTCTTGGAGCCTGTTTAGGCACTGGACAGGGCTCTAAGGTCCCTTTGGAGCCTTCTTTTCTGGGCTAGGTGACTTGAGCCCCTGCCCTGACCACACTCCAGGTTATTCCTTCAGGAGCATTCCTCAGATCCATTTGGATCAGTCCAGCAGGTTTGAATCCCTCAGCCTGTGACGTCGTGCAGCTCCGAGACTTGGTGATTTATTCCAGGAGAACTGATCTGTGTTGGCAGTTCATTAGACCTGCCCAAGAGTTGATTAAACTCTATTATGTGTCATTTAAAAAGTGCAGAAGAGCCAACTCCACTGATGAACTCCTGGAGTAATTTCTCCATAAAATTGCTGCTGTGCTGGAATCACTTGGAAGTTGCTCAAAGCTCAATGGGAGACAATAGAGGAGGGGAAAGTGATTTATTGGGTTTTTTTTAACTAATTTTAGTCCTCCTCACTCATTCTCCCATAACAAATCCCATAATTCCTTGGCTACTTTAAGAATTGTGCTGCTTGAAGTCTTTTGGGTCTCCATCCTGTCTCATTTCCATGGATCATTGGAGGACAACACTGATTTCTCCCAGTTTTACTCTCCTCATCCTTGTTCCTTTATCTCCAATCCTATTCTTTAGCTTTCCCTTATAAGTTTTTAATTTTGTTAATCTGCTCTCACAGTGGTCAATCCTAGGAAAACTCTTGACATCCTCATGTGCTTTGGGATCTTGTTTCCTGTTCTGGGCCTGTCTTTGCTCCTCCTGGTCATTGGCCACTCCCACCTGGAGCTTCATCCAGCATCTCATAGAATGGGATCATAGAATCCTGGAATGGGTTTGGATTGGAAAGGACCTTCAAGATCATCCAATCCACCCCTCTGACATAGCCAGGGACACTTTCCACTATCCAAGCTCCAAGCTTTGTCCAGCCTGGCCTTGAACACTTCCAGAGATGGGGAATCCACAGCTTTTCTTGGCAACCTGGAATAATCAGGGCTCTAGGGAGGACTTTTCTCCTTCTGGGAGCATCATGCCTGAATTTTGGGATACAAGCCTTGCTCTGCCTACTAATGAGCAGCCAAATGTGATGAAAGAATAAAATCTATCAGGAATCATCAGCTGCTCTTCCAACAAGGGGGATCTGTACTGATTTAGGGTGTGAAATGGGTTTATGGATGAGCTTGGTAGTGATTGTGTGGTGTTTGTGACCCACCTCCTGTCCAACCTGCTCCATCTGCTTTATCTCCAGGTTTCTCCGTGGCACGTGCAAGAAGACGGATGGGACCTGTCCGTTTTCCCACAAAGTGTCCAAGGACAAGGTCTGTGTGACTTCCCAACAGGAATGTGGCTCTGTGTGCAAAGGGGTGGTTGTAGGAAGGTACTTCCTCACTGAGTGCTTCCAGTGCTTCCTGGCCTTTAATTTTTCCAGGGATGGGGCATCCACAGCTTCTCTGGGCAACCTGTGCAGGGTCTCACCACCCTGTGGTTGAGGTCTAGAAAACACCTGGATGCCTAAGACCTGAGGTCTTAGAGGTCTAAAAAATACCTCCAAGATCATCAAGTCCATTTAGTTGTGTCTAATCCTTCCCTGCTTCCATAAGATCATATTTCCCTGGAAATTCCTCTGTGCTGGGGTCGGAGTATGTTTTAACAAACATAACTTGGAGGTATAAATTAATAAAAATCAATTCTTCCTCACTGAGTGCTTCCAGCTGAGTTTGGAGTTTCCTTGCTGAACTGTTCAGGCTCCTGAATTGTGACAGAATCATGAAGTGGTTTGGGATGGATGGGACCTTCAGGATCATCTCATTCCAACCTCTCTTCCATGGGCAGGAACACCTTCCACTACCCCAGGTTGCTCCAAGCCCCATCCAACCTGGCCTTTAATTTTTCCAGGGATGGGGCATCCACAGCTTCTCTGGGCAACCTGTGCAGGGTCTCACCACCCTGTGGTTGAGGTCTAGAAAACACCTGGATGCCTAAGACCTGAGGTCTTAGAGGTCTAAAAAATACCTCCAAGATCATCAAGTCCATTTAGTTGTGTCTAATCCTTCCCTGCTTCCATAAGATCATATTTCCCTGGAAATTCCTCTGTGCTGGGGTCGGAGTATGTTTTAACAAACATAACTTGGAGGTATAAATTAATAAAAATCAATTCTAAGTTGCCAAGAGGTAAAATCAGGTTGAAACCATGGCAAAACAACTCTGGAGTTCATTGTTTTCCACCTTCTTGATGTATTTGGAGCTCTGTGGTTTTATTGCACAAGGTGGAAAAATAATCCAGTGTTTTTATTTTGGGTTTATCAGTGATGATTTAGCACCTCAGCCTGTGTTTAGTGGCTGGGATCTCCACTTGGATGTAGCTTTGGAGACTCCAGCACAGAAGCTGAGGTGCCTGAGGCACGTTCCTTGTCCGTGGGGAGCTCATAAGTTATCTAGGAAGTCACTCTGAATGAGACACGGAGCACCAGATGTTTTTTACATGGATTTCTCTTCAGAGTCACTTAATCACAAGTACATAAAACAGGGACAGGGACAGCTGCATTCCCTCGCTCGTGGCGTGTCAGAGCAGGAATGGGGATGAGGATTGATAGATGGAAAAAAAGTTTGTTTTTTTTTTTTCATCCTGTAACAGCGTCAGACTTCAGAAATAAAGAAGCCAAGAATGAAGGAAGCTTTGCAGTGGGATTGGCTGTTGGTTTATCCAAAATTATTGTAATTAGTAAGGCCTACTACTTTTTGTCATCTGAGTAAATGATGTGCAACCCTCTGCCTGCACCTCTGAGATGAGGGATTGAAATTCATCCACAGAGCCAAAAACTCCAAATTAAATGGAATTTCAGAAGGTGGTGAAGTCTTTTTTGGGCCCCAGGGCAGAAAACCGAGATGAAACTTGGGAACTGGACACGCCCAAGGAGCTGTTGCAGTTGGTGGTTTATCCACCAAAGAATGTGATGGTCGGATGTGGATGAATTTGTGGTCTCTCTAGGAATATTCCTTGGCATGTTTAAATTCCTGGTGGAGATGTGGCCTCAGTTTCCCTTCTGGGAACACTTGGTTCCTCAAGGAGGACCTCCAGATTTGGCTTTTGGGCTCTGTTTTGGGTGAATAAATGGAGAATGATGGAAAACTCAACCTTTAGCAGCACCTCACCAGTTTGGGAAGAATAACAGTGATATTGTGGTAATAAAACTGAATTAAAAAGGAGTGACCATGTCAAGGATCTGTCTGCCAATAGCATTTTTTGGAAAGAATCCCTGGGATGGCACCCCATGGGATGCAATGACCTCAGCCCATCTCACCTTTTTCCTGAGCTAATGAAGCATCACCTAAACTCAAGATGAATCATTAATTAACAAACCAAAATCAAAGCAGGCAGTGCCAGCTCTGAAAAGCTTTCGGAGCACATTTTTCCTGCCATGCTCTATTGGGAAGGGGAATTATTTTTCACAGGATTAACCAACCTGAGGGTGGTTCAAAGGTCTCCCTGTTTGCCACCTTGTCATCAGCAAGGGCTGCAAGAGAAACAACCTCCTTCATGGAGTTCAAACTTGTTCCAGGGTGATTTATTGCCATGGGAATGCTGCTTCCTAAAGCGGGAAGCAACTTCACTTTCCAAGTCCTGGAGCTCCCCATTAAGCCGGGTGATTCTTGGCAAAGGTGGCTTTTCCCTCATTTATCAGGGCTGGGAAAAGCAGGTGGAGGCACTCAGCAGAGGAAGGAAGCAGTTTTCCTCCTGCTCGGGGAGTTTTTGGAGTAAATCTCACCTTTTCCTCAGGTGAGGGATTGTGCATGGTTGGTTTTTGGCTGTTTGAGTTGAGGTTTTAATGCAATCCATGTTTGTTTTTTTTTTTTCCATGGCATGATGTGGTGGTTTGGGGATTCCTGATTTTGCTGGTCCTGTCGATTTCTCTGTGTGGTTATTGGAGAGGGACACCCCAAAACCTCCTCATCAGAGAAATTTCATGTTGTTGTGTATCTCACCTTGGTGGGATTTTACTGGGATGGGATATCCAGATATCCAGTCCAGGAGGTGAAGGATCAAAGGCTGGCAGGGCTTGGCTCTTGGTTTCAGGACAAAACTGTTTCTCAGCCTTCGTGCATTCCCGTGCCTTGGTTTCCCCATTGAAAAATGGGAATAATCACTATTTCCTGGGAAAAATCAGTGTTTTGTATGGAAAAACTACATGGATTCAGCTGTCACAGCAGCAGGGAGCTCTTCCCCATCTTAGAGCAGCAAACCACTTGCTCCAAGCAGAGGATGGAGGATGGCTCCACTTTGTCACTGAGCTCTGCAGATCCATACCTCCAGTGGTTTTCATCACTCTCTAGTAATGGAAGAAAGAGCCTGGGGAAGAGGGAAAGCTATTCTTGTTCTGCCATGGGCAGGGACACCTTTCACTGTCCCAGGTTGCTCCAAGCCCTCTCCAGCCTGGCCTTGGGCATTTCCAGGGATGGGGCAGCCACAGCTTCTCTGGGCTTCCTGTGCCAGGGCCTCACACTTTAAAGAGTTTTGCTCCACAGGAGACTCAGGCAGAGCCTTTGGTGAGAAGTGACAGACAGGGAATTTTTCCACAGTGGATCAGAGCCACTGACACATCCCAGCAATGGGGAGAAACCAGGAAATCTGAAGGAAGCGAAGGTTGCGAGAGGCCGGGACTCGAGAAGCCGCCCGCTGCTGTTCCAACAGCTTTTCCCCTTGAGGAACTCAGAAAGAATCAGCATTTTTCTCCCTAATAGAGCTTCAAAACTCAGTTGTGAGCAATTTGGAGGCTCACGTGGAGTTTCGGGTTCATTTAGCTGCTGCCTCCAGAGCTTGTAGAGAGTCAAAGCTGTCGAAGGCGGCCGCAGCGCCCCAGTGCCTTGAATTAATGTTATTGTTATTTGTGTGGACGTGCTGGGGTGCAAACAAGGTTAATTGAAATGAGAGCGCTGCTTCCTCTTGATAATGGCTTGGGCTTGACAGCGAGGAGGAGTTTATTTTTGTCGGAGAGCTGCCTTTATTATCCCTTTTTATTAGAGCTAATTTGGGCTCTATATCAAAAACTACATTAAGGGAATCGTTTACGGTCACACCACCAGCACTGCCAAAGATCGCCCCAGAGCCCTGTCCTTTATGTTAATGTCTGCAGTTAAAAGACAATTAAAAATAAACTCTCCTCTTTTAAAGCACCCTTTGTTTTCTTTCCTCTCGGCCTCCAGCGAGGCAATTTAGTTCAACCCTTAATGTGCCCTTCAGGGATAAGGGATTTTTTCTGGATAGCCCTAGCCGTGGTTATTGCAGGATTGTAAATATTACTTGGGGATGCTTGAACTGGTGGGACCAGGATGCTACTGGTGAATGAGGAGATCAATACCATGCCGAGCAGTGAGGAAATTCGGGATGTAGGAGCAGGAGGAACCAGACCTTCGGGAAGCGCACATTCCAGGTGGCAGCTGCCTGGTCGGGGCGGGAAGTGGGAAGCTGCCTGTGGTTGCCGGTGAGTTAAGGATGCTGAAATATGGCAGCAGGCTGGTAATTTGTTTTTAATGATAACAGCTGGCAGAAGGTGAAGTTTGTGCTTTGAGGACGATGAGGAGAATCCTTGCTCCGTCAGTTTTCCCCGTCGGCTGTCACGCTGCAGAAACTCGGGAACACGGGAGCGCGGGATCAGGGGTCTGCTCTGTGTATCCCGCTGCTCTCCTTCTCCAATGCTCAGGGCAGGAACTGCTCTCCTCCTCATTTCACTCCCTGTCTGCCCAGTGTGCTGGGACAGGCATCACAGTCCTAGGGAATTCCAGGATAATGCCTTGGAATGATGGAGCCCCCCCAAAATCCTTGCAGAGGTGCTTTTTCCCCCTTTCTAGGAACCACCTTTTGGAGCCTTTATAAAACCCTCTTCCAGCCAGCTCCATATCCATGGAAGAGCCAAATGGGAAGCACCCCCAGGATGCTGTTTTGGCCTTTGTGATGGCCAAAATTTCCTCTGGAAATTGGGATTCCTTCTGAGAATTCCCTGTGGGATGTTGCAGCTGGGCTGGGTGTGTTCCTTGCGCCGCTGTTCCCATCTCCATCACTACATCATTCCTTGTGAAAAGTGTTCCCAGAATTTATGACATTTCCCCATCCCTTCCCTACACTGCCCAGAGGGAATTTTCTTCCTGGTGGCAGTTTCCAGCTTTTCACCCTCTCTCCAGCATCCTGAAGGATGCTGAGGGAAGCGCCTTCCCTCCCTGCGTATCCAAACACCGGGAACACGTAATACCAGGGAGCTGCCCTGCAGGAGACCAATGGAAGAGCTAGAAACACCTCTGGGATCGGTGGCTGGCAAAAGATTTCTATTTATTTTATACTTGTCACGCTTTTATTTCAGGTCTGGGGGTTGCAGTGATTCCGAGTCACGGGTTTAGGGAATTGCTGACGGATTTCTCCTCCTCTTGCAGATGCCGGTGTGTTCCTACTACTTGAAGGGGATCTGCAGCAACAGCAATTGCCCCTACAGCCACGTCTACGTGTCCAGGAAGGCAGAAGTGTGCCAGGATTTCCTCAAAGGATATTGTCCCATGGGAGAAAAGGTAAAGAGGGATTTATCCCAGCTGTTGTGGGCCAAAGCCAAAGCCATGAGCAGCGTCCTGCACCAACTGCGGCACCACAGGGAAAAGCTGGAAGCTGCTCAGCACCTGGATGTGATGAAGAACAGTCCTGTGCTTTTCCAAAGGGTTTTGGCAAAGTGGTTGGGTTGGGAAAAAAGGGAAAGAAGTCAAAGGCTTCAGCTCATCAACATGCTGGTGTTTCCCTGGTAAGAGCCTCCATAGGGTGTTTGTGTTATCAGTGTCTGAGCTGGAAGCAACTGCCCTGAAAACCCCTCACTAAAACAGAGAAAAAATGTAGGGAAATATTTAGGATTCTCTGTTTTATCTAGAAAATCCATAGCCATTAATGCTTATTTTCCACACTGGCTCTGTGATGGGTTAAAACTTGAGCCTTAAATCCTGTGGCTTAGTTTTAGGAGCAAGACCAGGCTTGCTCAGCATCCAGCTGTGCCTGGGGGATTCATGGAGCCACCTCCAGGTCCTGGGGATGGTTTGGATCTGTGCAGTGAAGTCCTACAGGACTTCATGTGCACCTTGGGGAGAGTTGCAACCACATCCATGAGCTTTTCGTGCTTGATGTAACATAGAAATTCTGGGAGCAGCTTTCCTGGAGCAGGGCTTGGAGCCAGCTGCCATTTGCTGTTCCAAAGGAATTTGGAACACACAGGATCTCACCTTTCTGTGTCATGGCTGAGAGGGTTGGCCATGCTGGTGTTACCTTGGGAATCCAAGTGTCTGTCCTGACTCCTCTTTGCCATTTTCCAAATGGGTTATGGGTTATGGTATGGGATTTCTGCTCATCCTTGGACAATTGTTACCAGCAGGAAAGGGGGGAATTCAGCCCCTCTGCCCCACTCGGGTGAGACCCCACCTGCAGAGGTGCCTCCAGCTCAGGATCCAATAGAAGAAGGAAGATGGGGAGCTGCTGGAATGAGTCCAGAGGAAGCCACGGAGATGCTCCGAGGACTGGAGCCCCTCTGCTCTGGAGCCAGGCTGAGAGAGCTGGGAATGTCCATCCTGGAAAAGGAAAGCCTCTGAGGAAACCTTAGAACCATTTCTAAGGGGCTCCAGGAGAGCTGGAGAGCGACTTTGGACAAAGACTCAGAGTGCCAGGACAAAGGGGAATGGCTTTCCACTGCCAGAGGGCAGGGATAGATGGCATATTGGGAAGAAACTATTCCCTGTGAAGGTGGTGAGGCTCTGGCACAGGTTGTCCAGCCCAGAGTGCTCTTCTCCTCCTTTTCTCCATCCTGGTAGTGCTCTTTTGCAGAGGTACAACCCATCAGGAGAAGCTGTAGGTGCTCAGATCCCACCAGCGTGGCCACCAGCCTGTCCCAGAATCCAAACACAACGTTGGATGGAATCCTAGTATCATTTAGGTTGGAAAAGACCTCTATGATCATTGAGCCCAGCTTTGAGCACAGCACTGTCGAGTCCCACTAAACCCCATCTGGTGTTTTCCCCATCCTTCCCGAGGAGAAAACACCAAAGAGCAAAAACCAGGGAAAAAAGCCAAAAGTGAGAGTTCTAAGGAAAGCAGGACATCAGCAACAGCAGAGGGAAGCTCTAATAAATTAGTCTGGGCCTAATTACTTTTTGTGGCAGCGCGTGGAGGGGGACTTGATGCAGGATAAACATTCCCTCAGAAGGAAAACACAGGCATCCTGCCACCTCCCTCCAGCGCAGCTCCAACCACGCAGGCAGGGTCCCGACAATTATTTTTAAAATATTCCAATTTAAATGAAAATATAAAAGAGATATTTAGAATATTTATTCTATTAGGAAAAGTGCTTACGGCGTCACTTTTGGAATGTCGGGAAAGCATTCTCCTCCAGATGATGGATAGCAGCCTGTAATTATATATGGGGAGAAATTGCTGAGCGGGCCATATTTAACTGGGGAGGAGAAATTCCAGCTTGGGCCATTAAGGGTTAATTTTATTCTCTAAATAATATAAAAAGTGCTGAGTCCGTGCCTTTGCTCCAAGTAGAAAGTCCTCAAATGGACCCCGGAGAGTTTATAATATTCTACTGAATCAAGGAAAAATGTTAACCTTGCTTCATAAAACGATGGCTTGTTAAAGATGCGCAGTCCCTTTTCTTGTGAATTATTTAGGATGGGAGTAAATCTTCCCTCGTTCTGCCTTTCCCTGTCCGAGCAATGTTGGTTTGAAGCACAAAGAGCACGGAATGCGAAGGCGTGCGACTCCGGTGGAGCATCCTGGGTGGATAAACTCCAACGAGGCTGGTCCATAATTAGGAGATTAGGTTGTTTTATGCTGATTTTTGGCATGCTGGGCTCTTCTTCCAGTTGCGTTTTCCTCTTTGTGCCCTCCCAGACAAACACAATTCCTGATTTTTAGCAGACCTCCATCAAAAATGTCCATTATTATCCATAATTTATGACATGTTGTTGGCAGCGTTGTCTCTTAAGGACTTCCTAGGATGTGTTGCAGCATTCTCAGGATAAGTTGATCCGCCTTTGACCCATTCCATGGACTGTAATTCCAGCTGCTCTTCGTACAAATGACGCCAGGACTGACTTACTCTGGCTTCACCAGGAATTTAGAATTAAGTGAGAAAGCTTTAATTTTGCATCCCTAATCCTTTTTCCAGGAATGTAGAGGGTCTAAATCCACCCTTGGGGAAGGGGACAGCTCCTGTACAAGACCATGAGCACGTCCTTCTTAAAGGGAATGTTACCCCCAGTATTAATTAATTGGTCAAAAGTTGGACCTGATGATTTTGGAGAGCTTTTCCAACCTAAATAATTCCAGGATTCTGTTTCCAGAAGGGAGCTGGTGGCACAGCTAGGACCTTGGTTTCCAGCATTTCTACAGGTTCCTTGGTCATGGGTTGGGAAGTTTCACCATTTGTGCTTCCTAAAGAGATCATCCCTAAACACAGTGATATATGTGTCCCTTAAAGCCATGGAGTGACTCCCACCTCGGAGATCTCTGTCCCAGTTTTCCTGGAGCATCCTGCCCTTCCCTGGCACCCTGACCTGGTCATGCTGGGAGGTCCCTCTGGGCTTGGCCACCTGCACTGGAGGAAGCCCCAAGAAGGAAGTGGGAAGAGAGGGAGAAATGGGGCCTCAGGTTCTTCCCAGGGTTTTCCAGAGATGTTTTCATGAGCTGCTCTGCGGTCAGAGTTCCTCTGTTGTTCCACATCCCTCCTCCCACAATGGAGCCTTGTGCAGGGGCTTGGAGGAGGAATTCTCTAGGAGAAGATGGGATGAGGCTGGTGGGTGTGAGGGATGTGGCAGCACCAGTAAGTGAAGTGTCTGTGGTGACGTGACCCCAGAGCAAGGGACAAGCAAGAGGAAACATTGGATGGAGACATTGTGGATGGCCCATCCCTGGAAGTGTTCAAGACCAGGTTGGATGGGCTTGGAGCAACCAGGAATAGTGGAAAGTGTCCCTACCTATGCCAGAGGGTTGGAACAGGATGGGCTTTAAGGACCTTTCCAACCCAAACCAGATTTGATGGCAAACCAGGGGCTGGGATCTCTGTGTGGCCGAGAGCCTGGAGCTGGGAGCTCATCCATAGATGATCCCAAGGACCACCTGCCTTGGGATTTTCTTCCCAAGCACAAAAGATGAAGGAGGAAAGATTTAGATGGAATATTGGGAAGAATGCCTTCCTGTGAGGGTGGTGAGGCCCTGGCAGAAGTTGTCCAGAGAAGCTGTGGCTGCCCTATCCCTGAAAGTGTCCAAGGCCAGGTTGGACAGATCTTGGAGCAACCTGGGATACTGGAAGGTATCCCTGCCAACAGCAGGGGTTTGGAATGAGATCATTGAGGTCCCTTCCAACTCAAACCACTCAACGATTCCATTGCTGCATCTGGAAAATTGTTTTGTATTAAATAATCTTCCCCCCTCCATGCCCATTAGCACCAGAGCCGCATTAAATCCCTCTCCCCGGATTGTTTCCATCGGCTGCCTGGGAGCCTGTGGGTAAAGTGTTCCCTCATGGGAGCTGTTAAACAGTGAGACACACTGAGATTAAACAACAAAGCTTCCCTGGAAAGGCACGGGGAGATGTACTGGAATAAATCATGGATAAGAGGAGAATCTGTTGCCATCCCTCTGAAATCCCAACTGGCACAAGCAGCCTTGTGATGGTGAGGCTTGACATGGGGACCTGCCATGGCAGGAGGCTTGAGCTGTGCTGGGACCACTCATCCCAGCTCATCTTATTCCTAAAATCCATCTTTTTATTGGACCAAGGGCTTTCACCAAAGCTCTAATTTCTGCCTTATCTATGTAAAAAATATGGGACAGGGGCAGCACTGCCTGAGGAAGTGCTGCTTCCTTGGGAAGAATAATTTTCCTCCCCCAGGTGGAGCTTGGTGGTTTTTGCAGTGGCAGCTGCTTGATTTTGCTGTAGAAAATCCAAATGTGGGGATTTTTTTCTCAGCTGAAACCTCGTTCTTGTGTGGTTTTTTGTGTGTTTGTTTGGTTATTTTTTTCCTTTTCTGGTGGAAGTTCAACTATTTCCCACCAGAAACGTAATGTTTTTGTGTGTCTGATACAGTTTAACAATTTAACACATTTCTTTAGAAAAAGCCATGTGAGCTGTGTTACAACAGTAAATATTAAATGTCTGTGGGGTTTTCTCTTAATTAGCCAGTGATGGAGAGCAGCAGCCTGGGATCATGGTTTTCCTTAATCTTTTATCATGGAAAGGTGAAGTTCAACACTTCATGCTTTCTGAGCTCAGCTGGCTTTTCTGGTTCAACCAGCATTTTTCTTTCCTCACAGCCATCAGGTCTTGGTATTTCTGGGTCTTTTTTTCCCCCTCCTTTGATCCCAGATTGACTCCCAACCAACTTGGCTTTTCCTTGAGGAACTCTTGAACAAAAGGTTGTCCAGCCCTGGCACAGGCTGACCTGGCAAGCTGTGGAATACTCATTCCTGGAGGGATTTAACAGCCCTGTGGAAGTGGCACTTGTGGACATGACTTAGTGGTGGCCTTGGCAGTGCTGGAGGAATGGGATTTTTCAACCTAAACAATTCCCTGATTCTATAATGATTTAGAAATAGCTGATGGAGAGCTCTGCCTTTGATAGCTCTTTTATAGTCCACTGCAGCTGTATGAAAATCAACTAGAAAAGCAACTTAATTTTGTTCATCCTTAATTTTGGCTCTGGCTGACAGATGTTTTCTGGGAGCTTGATTTGGGATTTTTTTCCCCCATAATGTGTAGCAGAAATCTTCAGTCATCAAACTGATGAGCAAGTGGAATTTTTATTTAAAATTAAGTATGGGTAGGATTGGTAATGAGGCTGTTTTTGAGGTCATCAGTAGTGTCCAGGATGGATTTGAGCTGGCTGAAATCTCTCCAGGTTCATCCCATTGGTTTGCTGGGAATGTTGAGTCCTTGTCCACATCCTCTGAGCAACAAATGCTGCTGATAATAAATGATAAATCCAGTCGTGGCAATGGGATCTTCCCATTGGAAGCAGTTTGTAGCCTTCAGAAGAGGTTTAAAACTGATCAGGATTCTTCCATGGCCAATCCTGTCCTCATATCTCTATGAAAATCTTGTGGGTTTCCAGTTGTATCTCATAGTTTGTAATGGGATAATGAAGGTTCTTATTGCTCCTTTAACTGTAGCATCTCCAATGGAATTCTGATCCTTACATTAAAGATGGGGCTTATCAGGATGCTGCTTAATAGCCTGGGATTGTTGATAACAGCACCAAGATAAATCCCAGGCTGAGATTTCCTCTTTCTTACACTTTAATATCTTTGTAGAAGGAGGTGGGGCACAAAATGTGAAAATTGGGAAGTCTGGGAGAAGAGCAGCCACAGAATCACAGCTCTAACGTGGGAGTGTAGTGACAAGGCAGAGACTTCCTGGTTTCAACCTGAACTTCTGAACACAAAACCCAGCAGATTGGGTTTTGCTTCTTGTCTGGAATCTCCCTTTAATTTGATCTGTTCTCTGTCAGAAAATCCCCACATCCCATGAGCAGTGGGTGATTCCCAGGATCACAGAATGGCTCCGGTTGGAAGGGACCACAATGGGGCATCTGGTCCAAGCTCCCTGTTCCAGCAGGGACATCCCAGAGCACATGCATTGTGTCCAGAGGGTTCTGGAATATCTCCAGTGAGGGAGACTCCCACCCTTTCTGATCTCTGTTCAGGGCTTGGTGACTGCATAGGGAGGATGTTCTGCCTCATATCCAGGTGGAATTTCCTGGGATCAGTTCCTGCCCATTCCTCTTGTGCCATTGCTGGGCCCCCCAGAGCAGAGCCTGGTCCATGCTCAGAGCCCTCCCTGCAGACAGGGACACACAGGGATGAGGTCCCCTCTCAGCTGTGTCTCCTCTCGAGGCTGAACAGCCCCAGCTCCCTCAAACTTTCCTTATCAGGGGTGCTCCAGTCCCTTCATCATCCTCACTGTCCTCCTCTGGACCTGCTCCAGGAGTTCCATGTCTCCAGCCCTGGACAGAGCACTCCAGATGTGCCCCATCTGTTCTGAGGAGAGAGACAGCATCACCTCCCTCGACTTTCCTAAGGCATCTCCCTTAATTTGCTCTTCCTAATGATCTCATTGGTGATTCTTTGAGCCACCTGGAACCAGGCATGTGGTGGAGCCCCATGATCCCTGATGGAAATGGTGCCATTGGGAATGCCCAGAGGGTGTCTGCCTCACTCCACACCCAACAGTGATGATTTGTGGTTGGGAATTACCATTGATGGGTAGACCATGTGAAAGTGGCTCTGTTGTGGCTTTCGAGTGGGATGGATGGGATCGTGGAGGTCCCTAATGGAAATGGGGTTCCTCAAAGCAGTGCAGGGGATGGTTGAATTCCATAGGCATTGCCGCTAAAGGATGAGTGCCGGGTTCAGATTTCACCTTTTGGATGTGCAAAAAGTTACAGCCAATGACTCAATTTCCAGTGGAAAACAGTGACAGGTGGTGGCCCTCAAGGGTCTGTATTGGGACCAATGCTAATTAATGCCTTCATTAATGACATAATGGGATTGGATGCCCCCTTGGCAAGTTTGCAGATGACACCAAGTGGGTGTTGCCGTTGTTTCACAGAATCCTGGGATTGCAGACTGGTTTGGGTTGGAAGAGGCCTTAAAGACCATCCAGTTCCAACCTCCTGCTTATGAGCAGGGATTCCCTCCCATCTCCTTTGCTGCCTCTTAAGTATGATTTTCCCAATGATTTTCAAAGCACCATCCTGGTCTTGCTCCAGCTCCAGAGGTATTTTAGCTCAAATGTTGTTTTATTTCCTGAAAATACCAAGTGAGAGGGTTTATGGATTTGCAGTGGATTCTGGAGAGATTTTAGATCCCAAATTCCTCTGATCATTTGGAGATGACCATCAGGAGTCATCCCTTCACTACAGGCATTTTGCTGGGCAAACTGTTTTGAGGGCAGAAACTTGTTTTGCAGCAAATTCCTTCGAATAACTACATTGGTTAAATTTCTCCATCATTATTCCAGGCTGGATGATGTTCGGATGTATTGTCCTCCAGGTTTTAATGACAGGGAGCCAGGATTGTTTTTTTTAAGGCTGTTTCCATCTGCACCCAATTATAAAAAAGCAATCGGAAAAAAGCCATTTACTGGCTGTCACTTTGGAGCGGCATCAAAACAGCTCCAGCACCTCCAGCCATCACTTCCCAACAGCCACTTAGAAGGACATTAAAACAGCCTGACATCCATCCACTCCATTAATCCCACTGCTTGGCCGTGGGGATACCTGGAATAGCTTCGGCAAAAGCTGCATGGATGCTCAAGAGGGCTTTAAAAAGTAGGAAACACTGGAGTTGAGGCACTTGAGTTTTGGGGATTTTAATGCTCCTCTTCCTGTGAAGGTCTGGTTGGTGGGATTTGTGTCCGTCATGATGGATAGTGGGATGGACATGGATCCCAAGGAGATGGGAAGAGTGCTTCAGCACCTTGTCATCTCTTCACTGAATCACTGAATATTCTGAGTTGGAAGGGACCCACAAGGATCATCAAAGTCCAGCCCTTGTCACCTGCTATTACACAGCACTGGGAAAGGAGCAGGGGGTGAGATTAAGCCAGGAGATACTTGAGAAGTTCAACCTGGCCAAACTGCTGCCCAGGAGCCAGGAATGTGAGGCTGGGTGGGATCTCTCCTCCCCACGCCATACGGTCAGTGGGTTGGTTGTTGGTTGGCCCAGTGACCCAGCTTCACCTTCCTCCCACCCTCCATCCCCTCCTGCCAAGCTTGTTCATGGAAAATGTTCATTAACATCATTCCCAAGACTGAGCCAGGACTTTCCACCAGTTGCTGCTTCCTCCTTTGCCAGCTTCGTGCTAAAGAAGGCTGGGCCCTGCAAACCTCCTCATCCCTGTCTCACTCCTGGAGCATGTTGGGCCCCGTTGGACCATTTAAGGCCTTGTGGATCCTTGACAGCACCTGGAATTTTACCCAAAGCTGCCCTGGCAGCCAAGGAGGAGTCCTGGACATAGGATCTGCCAGCTGGGCACCATCCCAACCCTGGGCACCGTTGCTGGACAGGCTGTGGGGGGAACCCCACAGCAGGGAGACTGGGACTGGGATATACCCATGGGGATGTTGGCAAGGAGCCAGAGTGGGGTGAGATTCCTCCCTGTGGCTTTTTAGGGATTCTCTGGGGTTTTCTCATCTCTTTGGTGGAAGGGACCAGAATTTTTTCCCTTTTTATGGCCCAACCTGTGGTCTGGCGGGGGTCCCGGGGGGGTATAATTAGCCACCCCAACAGGTGGCAGGGATCAGATGGCCCCCAGCACCACCCCACAGCCCCGCTAGGCTTCACCCCAGCTGACACGTGGCCAGCAGCAAAATTCCCTATGGAAACCCAGCCCCAGCGCGTTGGATCTGGCAGGAGCAGGAGAGCTACTGTAAATAAACAGAAGGGGCTTTTCCAGCCTCCAGAGGCAATTCCAGTCTCACCATCCCAGCTGTGGGACAACGAGGATGGACGGGGCCTTGCGGAAGAAGGGCCGGAGCGCTGGGAACAGTGTGGAAAAGCCATTAGAAACCCGAGCTGGGGACGTGGCCCTGGGATTAGTCGCACATGGTTTGTTTTCTTTATTAAGTATCTTTTTACCATGGAGCCAATAAACATGGGCTGCTCCAAGGATTCACTTGGAGGTTGGGGCTGGGTGGAGCACGGGGGAGGTGGCACATCCTGATCCTGGTGCCCAGTCGGGATCATGGCACTGTCCCACCCCGTAATCGGTGCCCCGCTGGGAAGGAACAGCCACGTTTCTTGGCCTTTTCCCAAAATAGCATAATTCCTCGATGTAGCAGTGATGCATTCATGTGGCTTTTTGAGGTCAGGGCTCTTTTTTTTCCTGCTCTTCTCCTTTCCAAGTCGATTTTGTGCTGGAAACCCTTTTACAGAAGAGGATTTCACATCCTTTTCAGGGATCGTCCAGGGCAGAGGCAGAATTTGGACTTGATGATCGCTGGGAGTCCCTTTCAATTCAGGATGTTCTGTGATTCCAGAAGCTGGGGATGGTCAGACCAGGACCTGGCACCAAGACACATCCCCGCAGTCTTGTGCTCCACTGGGACTGTCCCTTCCAGGTGGGCTTGGAAGCTCTGCCCATGCATTCAGTCTTTAATCCCTGATGGACTGTTCCGTGATTTTTTTCTCTTCCCTAATTTTGCCTCATTTATTTTAAAAGAAGTTATCAGGTTGAGGGATTTGCTTTTCTGTTTGCTGATATTTTGGGAGAAATTCCTGTGTTTGAAATCCTGTCTGGTTGCTGCCTTTTCCAAGCGTTTCTCTTTGGTCCAGGATGTATCCTATCTGTAGGTAAAATGAGAAAATGAAGAAAATGTCTTGTGGAGACAGGCTGGGAGAGCTGGGAATGTCCAGCCTAGAGACAAGCAGGTTCCAGGGAGACTTTAGAGGCTCTCCCAGTGTCTAAAGGGGCTCGAAGAGAGTTGGAGAGGGACTTTGCACAAGGGATGGAGTACAAGGAAAAGGGAGAATGGTTTCCCACTGCCAGAGGGCAGAGATAGATGGGATATTGGGAAGAAATCCTTCCCTGTGAGGGTGATGAGGCCCTGGCACAGGTTTCCCAGAGAAGCTGTGGTTGCCCCATCCCTAGAAGTGTCAAAGGCGAGGTTGGGTGGGGCATGGAGCAGCCTGGAATAGTGCAAGGTGTCCATGCCCATGGCAGGAGGTGGGAACGAGATGATTTCTAAGTCCCTTCCAGCCCAAAGCATTCCATGATTCCATGTGCCTATTAAAACACAGGATTTGGGAGTAACGGCAAAGCCAGGCACTGTTCAGACCTGACTCTACTTCCAGGTTGCCTATTGTTTGTATAGTTACTTCCCATTCCAGCTCCTTGAAATAAGAGGTGCAAAATCATAGGAATGGGAGTTTTAAATGTTTTTTTTTATGGAAAAGCAGCACTGTCACCGAGCTGTCCCCCGCATCGAGCCCATATCCATGTGTCCATGTGGATCCCAGCCCTCCTGCTGCTCAGCACCATCCCCAACCTCCAGCAAACGAGCTCCTTGCTCTGCTGCCGACTCCAGCGCTCAGCCCCGGGCGACGGAGCTGCCGAATCCTTCTGCTTCCCAAGGAGAGAGCTCGGCAGGGATCCCGCTTAATCCCAAAGGTCAGCACGGGGAGCTGCTCCCGTGTCCGCAAAGTAAAGTTGCATCAAAAGGGCAGGAAGTGACCTCTGTCCCGCATTGTCGGCAAGATGGATTTTTATAAACAGGCCGGAATAGTGTTGCTGAAACCCTCCCCTTGTTTCTTCCCCTATGGATTTATCTCATTTTCCCCAAAATCTGAGCTTGAAGGAATGGGATGCCTGGGCATCCGAGTGTGGAAGGACCCCCATTTCTCCTGGAGAAGGTCAACAAGGGAATGGATGTTGGAGTTGAGAATTTTTGGTTGTGCCACGTGTGTTGGATTGTCTCTCCATGGATATCACAATGTGATGCAAAAGCCAAACTGGTTGGGACGGAGCATCCTGGGTGGGAGTGGGTCCACATGGGACTTAGAGGGATCCAGGACTTGCTCCCACCCTTCATTCCTTGGGATATGCTGGGATGAGCTCTCTGGATTGCTGGGAACAGAGATTAGAGAAAGGCTGTTCTTTTTCCTTCCTCCCACCTTCATTCCCAAGAGCCCAGATAGAAATCCCAGCTGAAGACATCTCCTCTTTCCTGCCTGCCTCTCTTCCTGCCTTTCCCACTGCCAAAAAGTGCCATTTCCCAGCAGAAAACCTGATGGGGAAGCTCTGGGACACTGATGACACCTCATTCCCACCAGAACCACTGGTGGCTGCTGGGAGCTGCCAAAATCCGGAGCTGGGAGTGCAGGAGCCTTTTTAGGGATGAACGTCTCAATGCTGTTGTTTTAACAGCCCCATTCCACAGCCACACTGAGCTTCCCTGTATGGGAGAGCATCAACCAAGCCTTGGGAAGAGCAGGTTGAACTTCAGTCACGATTCATCTTCCTCAGGTGGCTGGTCCAGGCAGCAATCCCAAAATAAGTCCTGAAAGGATTTTGTTCTGACTCTTCCCTGTTCTTTCCCAAGTCCCAAGCATGTCTGGGACAACAAAACCCTGTGTTGTCTCCAAAACCAGCTTCTCCAGCCCAAATAACCTCCGTGGGACTTCTGCAGGGACAAATCATTGCTGTTAAAGCTTTGGTGGTTTTAATTCATAAAATCAAGCACTTGGAAAACTGTGGGCAGGTGTGGAATGTACCAGACCAGAATATTATTTTTGTAGTATTTTTTCTTGGAATATTATTTTGATGCGGAGAAGGAAATGCCAACACATCCCTCTCTCCCTTTAGCAAGGTGTTGATGCCACCTGAAGGAGCTCAGCTGTGGATTCCTGTGCTCTCACAGGGTTTTCCCTGCCTTTTCCAACTCTGCTTCCTCTTTCCCTGTCAGTGCAAGAAGAAGCACACGCTGGTTTGTCCCGACTTTGCCAAGAAAGGTGTCTGCCCCAAGGGTGCCCGGTGCAAACTCCTGCACCCCCATAAGAGACGTCACCAACAGCAGGTTGTAGGTGATGGAGACCACAACAACCCCCCTTCCAAGTGGAGACGGATCCAGGAGGCATCAGGCAGGTAGGAAAGAGTTCATTTTGCTTCATTTAACAGTTTTCTTCCCAACCTGTTCCATATTTTACCTCTTCCAGGCGTTTTCCATCTGTATCCTGGTTTATTTTAAGATGCGTTGGTGTGGGTCACTGTGGTGTTTTCTGATGGAGACACCTCTGGGATGGGCAGTGTCCATGCTTGAGGAAGAGCTGATTCATCCTTAGGAATGTTCCATCCAGGGCTTTAGCACCTCCAGGTATCTGAGACTTTTGTAGACCTTCCTCTTGGAGATGGAGGAGTTCTGATGGAGATACCACTGCTAAAAGTGGGTCCATGTTATCCATAGTTATGTGGGAAATGGGAAAACATCATCCCTCTTCCTTATGTCTATGTTGGAGAGCAGAGCTGAGCCCTCTCCATGGCATGGAGGGGCTGGAGAATCAGAAATAGGGATGGACATGGAGATAAGAGGCTTTGGAAAAGTTTGGTGCTGGGCTGGGCCCTTGGTTAATCCTTGGAAGTTCTCTGAGCTCTCCCTGATGTTTTTGGATGCCGGGATGGAGCCACAGGTTGATGATGGATGTGTCCATCCTCATCCTCACAGGGAGATGGATTTTACTGAGCTTGGCACATCCTCTACCCTCTCTCAAGTCCTGCAAGCAGGACAATAACATCCCAATGGAATTAGAACTAAAGCCAGATGGAATTAGTTTTAAAAGCCAAAATCTCCAAGTCCTGCTCAGTGGGAGGAGGAAGGATTGATTTGGGTGCAAGACTTCTCCATGGCTTTTTGCAGCCAGAGGTGGGAGTGAAGGTGGGATGGAAGGGGAGGGACCTGGGTGCTTTGCCAGGCTGGTCCATGCTCCTGGAATCCTCCATGGTCTGGGCCTGGGCCTCATCCTGGCCCTGCCTTGTAAGGTAGCAGAGGGGGACGAGCAGCTCCACGGGTTCTCCGAACTTATCCCGGGTGACAGAAGAGGCTTGGAATGACACCCAGCTCACGTTCCCGGTGTGAACGAGGTGTAAAATAGCTCCTTGCTCTTTTTAGGGAAGGAGGAATGAGTGCAGGCCTGCCTGGTTGGGAGGCTCCTGGCGTCCTCCGCTGGGAAGGGAGCACGCCCCAGCTTGGAAGCTGCTCCAGAGGGTTTTTTTTTCCTTTATTGGCACCGTCATGGGAGATGTCAAAGGAGCTGGAGTGTCAAGTTAGCTTGGAAGAGAGTGGCAGGGCTGGGAATGAGCCAAGCCCAGCAGGACACCTCCAAGCCATCCCAACTCCCCACGCCTTCCATCTCCCCTTCCCTCTGCTTGATCACAAGCAGGAGCCCAACACCTGCACAAGAATCTGAGGAGCTGGGAACCTTGCAGGGAAGTGTAGGACAGGGAATCCAGCTGGAGAGGGAGAAACTCCAGATGAATCTGTGCTGTCTCCAGGGAAATCAGGGATACAGCATGGCCTTGGATGGAGACCTGGGAGGTCCAAGCCTCTTCCATTGCATATGATGCCCTGTCTAGCATTGCCAAGTGGGATTGTTTTACTTTTCCTTATTATTTTTCCCATTCCTGTAGGAATGATCCAGCTCAGCTCCAGGATGATGGGGAAATTCCCGGACCCTCCAGTGCAGAGCAAGAGGTGAAGTTTTGGAAAGAGGAAGAGCCCAAGCCAAGCAGCTGCCTGCAAAAGCTGCCATCCTTCATCTCCCTCCGATCCCCGGAATCTCCCGGTTCCCTGGGCTGCAAAGAAGAGAGGGATGAGGATGAGCCAGAGGATGAACCAGGTAGGAATCACATCCTCCACTTGGAGCTGCTCTGGTTTTCCAAGAAAAAAAGTTATTCTCTGCTGTTCTCCGTGGTTTTTGATGGGATCCATGTTCTTTGTGAGTCACCAAACCTTTTAAGACTGGGAGTCCAAACTGGGATGGCAGAAAGGATTCCCATCTGGGCACAAATCCTTGTGTCTGTTCCTGAAATTGTGTGTCAGGACTTTGTCCCCTTATTTTATCAACTCCTTTCTTATCCTGTAAATTATCCAATGATGAATCTGGTCTCATTTCCATGACGGAATTACATCACTGCCCTGTAGAGAAGATGTTTAGTGGGATGCAAGGATGCTCTGCCTCTGGAGGACCTCTGGATCATCCATCACACCTGTTTCCCAGCAGGAAATAGCTTGGAAGCTTTCCAATAAAAACATTCTAGTGGGAGGTTGGGTGGAGTGTTTGCAGGTTGGAAGTTTGAAGGAAGAGCTGTTAGTCTGGAATTATCTACTTTGGAAGTCAGTAAAATTTTTGGAAATGTGGTTTAGGATGAGCAGAACTTTTTTTGGAATTCTGCCACATGAGAGCTAGTGGCTTCTGCTTCTCCAGTGTTCTTGGTTCCTCCTCTCCTCTTTCAGCTCTTCCATGGGAAAATCCCTAAAGGGATGGGATTTTGGAGTGCTCCAGGGATGTACCCCCAAAAGCAGAGGTGATGGAGATGGTGAGGCCAGGATTGTGCCTGGTTCTTCCCACCTCTGAGTGGGAGGTTTTTGGCTGGGTGATGCTCCACACTTAGTTTTCCTCTCCCATCCTTCTCCAGTGGGATGCACAGCCTCATCTCCAGAGCACCATCTAGGAATGGGCTCAGAAGTCACAATATTTTGTGGGAGTAACGATGAAATTCTCATTGCCAGCTCTGCTGGCACAAAATTTGGCTGCGTGTGAGCCTTTCCCATCTTTGATCCCAACTTTCCATGCAGCCGGAGCAGGATCCCACTGGGATAAGGGATGAATTCCATTGCAAAATCCAGGCTGAAGCATTCACAGGATCATCCATAAGGATCTGTGACGCTGTGCCTGGCTCAGCCACTTCAAGTCAGGGAGGGTTGAGATGCCTTAATGCTGTCAGAAAGAGAATTCCCAGGATTAGCAACATATTCCTGAAGTCACAGACGAGCGCGGGTGCTGTTGAACCACAGTGTGGTGGACACAGTGAGGGGACCATTCCAGCTGGGAATACTCCTCTCCACAACACGGAGTGAAACACTCAGCTTCCCTTTCCAGGGATTTCTTCTCCTCTTTTTCCTTTTCCTTGGCCCTGGTCCAACTCCCTTTTGACCTCGGGAAGTGTTCCCAAGGCAGTGACTTGACCGGGACTTTTGTCTCCACGGTGAAGTTGGAACAGTTAATTCATGGACAAGAAGACTGTTGAAGTGCCTTGGAATACACTTGGCAGCTGGGAATAACCCAGGAGCAAGGGCATCGTTTTCCTCTTAATTCTAGAGTGTGTATCCAAGGGAGGATGATTTCCAGGCGTTTTGGGTGGGAGGATGAGGAGGAGGAGCTGGTTCATTTGGGAATGTTGGCAGGAAGGCTGGGTGAAGCTGGCAGGTATGAGGTCGGGGCACTCATCCCTCTGTGCTCCTTTGCCCAGGGAGGCTCATGGAATTGGGAAAGCAGATGCTGGAGGATCCATAAGAGAGGAAAACCAGGCAGGAATTGCAGATAGCTGTAAAATCATCTGATGATGAAGCAATTTCCCTGCCAAAGCAATGGCATGCCGAGTCTGGACATGGGAATGGTTGATCCATGGGTTTGCCCATCCTTGGGTTTCATCTTAATCCTAGCCAAGGGATTTCAGGGCACAGCAGCACCTGGGAATCCCCAAATCCTATGGGATAAGAGGAGCCCTGGCCACCATCCTGAGAGGACATGGGATTGATGCTTCTAAAGGACCAAATGCTTTGTGGTGGCCACATCACTTGGACTGGACTCCATGACCCTTGTGGATCCCTTCCAATATTCCTATATTCCTTTGGAATATTTGGTGATCCTGAGATTGAGTTTGGAGCTGAGCAGGTGGTCAGGATGAGTCCATGCGTAGCTCTAGGAAGTAGCCAGAGTCTGTGGCAGGATTTGGGAGTGGGATCTGGGGAGCTTTGCCAGCGATAACATTGGGTTTGTGCTTGTGAAGCCTGAAGTTGACACACAAATTATTGGGATGGTAAATAAGGAGGAGAACAGGTTGTTATTAAGGAATGAGATTAATTCCTTGGTTAAACAGTCACAATTGGAGAAAATGCCCTTTTAATCCTGGGAAATGCAAGAGGAACAAGGAAAACCGGGGAGGGGCAGGGAGAGAGTTTGGAGATGACCTTTAAGGACCAGCGTGGGCAACAGCATGAGCTTGCAGGATCTCAGTGGGGGTCTGGGTCCAGGATATAGGGAAAGGCGACTGGAAAGAAGGGATGTGTTCTGTGTGCATGGTGCAGAGCCCCTTCATGTTCCCAGCCCTCCAGAGGAGCCTGGAAATTGGGGTTGGAAGAGTGATTTGTTGACAAGGTAGTGATCGGATAAAGGTTGATCTTGGAGGTCTTTTCCAACCTAAATGATTCCGGGATTCTGTAATTTGAGGGCACTGGTGCTTTCCAAGCATCCTCCAAAAAGCCAATCCGTGCAGCATGGGGACAGCCAACTGCTCCCAGCTGAGCATCCCAAATGGGAAGAGTGGGTTTGGTGGCATCCCATCCTTCACCTTGTGTTATCCACCCAGGAGCATGGAGCCGGAGGGAGAACAGGCTTCCCTACCCCTCCGACTCCTGTTTTCCAGGTAATGGGCTTTTCCATATTTCACCTTCCAGTTAAATCGCCTGTGCTGGAGCCTAACTGGCCTCCCCGTGCTAATTGCACCAATGCAAACCATTCCAATCGAGTGCTAATTTAATTAGAAAGCACCCATTTTAGTTAATTTGTTCGAGAAGATCACTGCAAACTCCTGGAGAGAACAGATGTTCCCCTCTCCCCCGATGAACATTCTGGGCTTTGTAAATGGCTCCGCTCAGCCTTGTTTAGGAGAGAAAAGAGGATTTTATAGCCGCAAACGACCCTTTCTGTAAACATTTTACAGCTCTCTGCACGTTTGAGTGACGATAAACCCCGAGCAGCTCGGCGGGCTGCAAATTTGGGACCATACGGCCGTCATTTTATTGTCATATTTCA